AAACAGCAAGATCAGGTTTAGGACAGCATTGTGTCCAGACAAAGGCTGAAGGATTTACGCTGGAGAGCGCACAGACAAACTGAGGAGCATTATGATGAATTGATACACAGGTAAGCAACTGCACGGCACACCGCAACCTTTAACGATAGGTTAACATAATGCAAGGAAATGTCTGTGATTTATTCCACTCAATGGGCTGATGCTTGTTAATGGGACTTTGGTGAGCGCACGCGGATATGGACTTTACTTGCAGCTCTTCAAAAGTAGATTCATAATTTTAAGAGGCGCCTTCAAATATTATCGACACATTGAACGTAAGATGCTCGGCGCTTTTTAGCACACTCTGTTTTGACAAGAAGCGGCTCCAAGGAAGTAGGAGAGGAACTTTACTTTTTGACTCTTGGATCGTAAATCACATTAATTTGTTGTCTTATCGTCACTGTGGCGTTTGTAGTGATTTATGTGGTTTCAACTGTACGGCTTTGTCAACTTGCAACCTAAAATTATTTTCAGATTGGAGAGCCTATTTGAACGACTTTATGGATTATTAAGGCTTTTATTAAGATGAAGATTATTCAGAATATATTTTCACCACATTATGCGAAAGCTTCTTTTAATAGGCTAGCCGACTATCTTTGTTTTTATTGCCAATGTGTGCAATTTTATTTTACGAGAATGACGCTGAGCCAACACTTGTGTTTGGTTTCAAGGAAATAACAGGCAACATTTCATAGTGCCTATAGCTAATAGGCCTAGGTCATTATTGTTATTGTATTATTGATGTTATTATTGTTATTGTAGCTATTATTTTTAGACTTTTTTTGTGCGTAAAAGCGTTTCACGTCTTTCATTGTGACCCTATAGAATAACGTGGCCTTATGGACAACAATAGGCTAATTAACCCCAAAACTCTATAATATTTACATATTTAAAATTTAAATAATATATTTTCTTTTCCTTCCTATTGTAAAATAGGCCTGTTTATAGACTTCAGCAAATGTTTTTTCAAAGGACGGCGTAAATGAACATTTGAAAACCGTACAAAATTAAAGGCATATTAAATGCATTACTTTTTACTCAAAGCATGGTCTCATATATTGACGCAAACAGCACTGATTAAAAGGATAATAACACTCTTAGAGTCTGGCCATTGTGTGAGCCAAACTTACCGTAAAAGCGCGTAGGCGAATAACACAACGCTATGAAAAGAAGAGCATGTCTGCTACTAGTACTAGTGGGTTAAAGCACTCGAGGCGACACAAAAACAAACCCGTAGTCCACAAGCCGAGATCCAACAAGCCGACATATTTCAGCTCCACGTAAAAACGCAACAGAATTGATCCTGACGCTCCAGCGTCTTGAGCCCAAGAAGGAAAAAGCGGCCCGTTTGGCGAGGATGGCTTCTTGAAGCAAACTGCTCGTTGTTCATTAAACTTTGACTTAATACTCGCTGACCTTTGGGTCACACAAAAAGCTTATGACTGCTAAATATTTGGACGACTTCTTTGTGGAAAAAGTGCAGATGCAGGACTTTTTCAGACCGCCTTTGAGGCACAGCCATAACAACTCTGGACTCTAAAAAAAAAAAAAAAAAAAAAAAAAAGACTTAAAGCATGGCAAAATAAATTTAAATTAAGTGGAATAAAATACCACGGTCTATCTACTTCGGGAGATTTTAAAATGTATTTTAGCAACATAGGCAAGGCTATATAGGCCAATACAACGAATTCATAGAGGTGAATTAAGACTGAATTTTGATTTGTGTTGCAGGTCGAGGAGGCTGCAGTGATGTATGCGTAACTAACACCCTTTGTGCGAATTTTGGTGAGTAAAATTGAAATAAAATTAATACATTTTTAATAATATGTACATTTTAATATTATAGGCCTAAATAATAATAAAACATACAACCAAGACACAAAATTTCGCCCATAGGCTTAAACCCAAACATAACTGTAATAAACGGAAAGACTAATAGTGCAAAATCCTACATCACCACATGCAAACGGGAAATATAAAAATGGCCAGAATTCTCCGCGGGGTCCAGTGACTTCCGCACGCGGCTTTAGTAGCGCCGTGTTTCGGTAAAGCGGGTTTGGTTCGAAGGCGAGGAGAAGAATGGACGCCTTTGGTCCAGACCGAACCTTAATGAGAGAAACGGTCGACGATAAAATTCTTTCCCATGCCTTCCTCCTACGCTGTGCGTCTTGAGCACTGTTTTGCTTTTCATTCCTCTCTGTGGCCGTTTACAACCATAACATTTGCGGTCATAAATTTTGCCGCGGTCCACACTGACAGGTGCAATTGTTATGCGCGGAGCACACCGCACCTCCTCGAACCACCAACATACAGAAGGGTACATGGCCGTTCAAGTCTGTTTGAGGCCAAATCCAACACTTTCTTCATTTAGCAAAAAATATATAGGGTACACATATTTTAAAAGACATAGTTTAGGGAGTGAAGGGGGAGGGGTGTGAGGACGCACAACAACACAAGGACCAACAAACATGCATATTATATTTTAGATCCAGACCCTTAGCCCTTCACACAAACATACAAACACAATTTCTTATAGATTATGGTCATACGAAGCTATGTTTGTGCCATGGTGAAACGCGCGCGTCTTGGTGGGCTGTATTTCTGTTGCAGGAACAATGCTTGACGGGCTTTGTCAGGCTCGTGATTAGTGAAAAGCCCATTGTGCGTATGCGAGTCAGAAGCTGATTCAGCTTATTTCCAGGGAGCCTTCAAGTCTCCCAGAGGGTCCTTTTAACGCGAGTTAAACTTTAACAGTTTTGTAGTAAGCCGAGTAGTGTTAGCGCTGCTGTCAACCGGCCATTTGTGGCACACATCTGCTGTAGTGAATGGCGTTAGGTTCAGGACACCCATTGCCTGTGCCTTATGATGTTTCTCTTTTAGGTCAGAGACTGAAGAGACAGTGGGAGACACCAGTCACGTGAAACAACAACACCAATGCCCCTGGCGTAGTAGGTTTCAAACTACAAAATGCAGAAAGCTACCTATTATGACAACTCTGGACTGTTTGGAGGCTACAGCTACCCCAAACCTGACTCTTACAACTATGGTCCATCTCACCAGTCCTACACGGCCGCTAGCATAGAATCTGACTACCAAGGCCCAGTGTGCCCCATCCAGACCACTACTGTGCGCACGGCGAGCCTCAAAGACAGTGAGCTGAACGGGGACTGCATGCGCCAGGGCAGCACTCAGAGCAACAGCAGCCAGGCCAGCAGCGTCAGTGAGCCGCAGCCTCCAACTCTGTCTGCGGCCTCGCCCGGTTCCAACAGCTCCACATCCAATAAGAAGAAATCTCCCTCTGGAGCATCAGGCTCCGCCACACCGGCCTTAACCAAGCAGATATTCCCCTGGATGAAGGAGACCAGGCAAAATTCCAAACAGAAGAGCAACAACTGTAGTGCGAGTGCAGGTAATGTTCCAAATGATCACTCACAAAACTGAAGCTATTTTGGAAAATCATTAACATTTATCCAAAAATAAAAATAAATAAAAATCCACTAAAGTCTTACTAACATCCACTAACATTTTAGTAACATCTCAAAACAATAACAGTTAGGAATTAGGCTATTACTATTAATAAGAGCCTATTACTATCATTTCCTGAAGGTCTACAATTTAACAAGTTAAACCGTGACAAGTTAAACCGTATGCCTGCATGTTTATGGTGTGACTAAAACCTGGTTTTGTTTATTTCCAGGTGAAGTGAGTGATGAAAAGAGCCCACCAGGACCTGCTTCCAAGCGGGTGAGAACCGCATACACCAGTGCCCAACTTGTGGAGCTGGAGAAGGAGTTCCATTTTAACCGCTATTTGTGTCGCCCTCGGAGAGTGGAAATGGCCAATCTGTTGAATCTGACCGAGCGCCAAATTAAGATCTGGTTTCAAAACCGGAGGATGAAGTACAAAAAGGACCAGAAATCTAAAGGCATGGCGCACTCCCCTCTGGGACACTCTCCGGATAGAAGCCCTCCACTGAGTGGCCCAAATCACATTGGATACTCTGGCCAACTCCAAAATGTGAATAGCCTCAGTTATGACGCGCCCTCACCGCCCTCCTTTGCTAAACCCCAACAAAACATGTACGGATTGGCTGCTTATACGGCGCCGTTAGGTGGATGCATCCCGCAGCAGAAAAGGTACCCGGGGTCCGAGTACGAACACCACGGCATGCAGAGCAATGGCAGTTTTGCAAATGCGAATTTGCAAGGAAGCCCAGTTTATGTGGGTGGGAACTTTGTTGATTCCATGCCAGCCTCGGGCCCTATGTTCAACCTCGGCCATCTTCCTCACCCCTCATCCACCAGTGTGGACTACAGCTGCGCCGCGCAGATCCCAGGAAACCACCACCACGGACCCTGTGATCCCCACCCCACGTACACAGACCTCACGTCTCACCAAGCGTCTCAGGGAAGGATTCAAGAAGCGCCTAAACTCACGCATTTGTAAAATGTCTTACTTGTGTGTGTATGCGCGCGTGTGTGTGTGTCTGTGCGTGTTTCCCTGAGCGACTGCGCGCGTGTGTGTGCCAAATTATGTTGCGCTCTTTTTATTACCTCACTAGTCTAATAACTTCGCTCCGAGCGAGTCGTGTATTATTACAGTATTATTGATATGACTATTAATGCTATCGTGTCATTATTTTCTGAATACAGCTTTGTCCATTCCTCTTGAATAGGGGCACACAAGACTGTTGTCAGTCAGTTTGTTTCATTACTTTATATTATTCATGTGCAATGCACAGTTTGGACTAAATATTTCATGCCGTTACTTGAAGGTAAGTCTAATAGATCACAGTAGAAGCTCATCATAGAAGAAAAAGAAACATTAGAATTTTCTGTCTGTTTGTCAGGATGCAGTTTCCTCCAGAACATCAAACTTATTTATTGGCATATTTTTACATATACTTTCTAACTAGCCTCTATCTATTTATTATTTAATTATGTTGGTATTGCACATTATTTATCGTTTATGCGAATATTTATACATGTAACTTTTGTAAGATTGGACACATCAATGCACTTGGAAGTGTGGAAAACAGGGTTTGAAATGACTTGGTCTGATGTGGACTAGGCACATTTCTTATTTGGATAAATGGGGCATTTTATAGTGTATAACACCACTATACTGTATGTCCATGGTAATTCTTGTGTCAACTTTAAGAACATAGACTATCTAAGTATTTAATACAGTATTATACACCAGCATGTCACTTTGTGTAGCCATTGTTTGATTTGTTCGCCATTGTTTATGCTTCATTTGGTAGCCTATCCATAAAAATACAAACCCTAATGATATCAAAATGTTATATTTTATTGTGTTAAACATTTTGTAAATAAAGTGATCAAATATGTTACGTTTATTATTTTTATACCAATAACTATTCAAACACAATTTTAAGGGTAAGAATAAGATGTGTTTTAGTGCTTAAGAACCGGGGTTTCATTGCTCATATCCGTTTCAACAACTCAAACATACGTTTTTTTAATGTTCTACTGAAATTCTAAAACTGAATCTCTAAAATAAAACATATCGTTGTAGTTCTAGACTAAAGCGTTTCTTGATTTGATAGTGGCTTGACCAAAATTCATTCTGAGGTTCCTCTCTTGTGTAGGCTAAAGGCAGGCCTATACCAGGGCGTGTTTTTGGTGGCCCATTAGGCTAATCCGTAACTACGTACAAAACGTATATATATGTGGCTATTGGATAATATCACTAGTGACTGTGGAAGCGTTTCTACTCAAGCACAAGGCCAGCAGCGAGTGACACTAACAATAGGCTGGTTGAGAGAAATTATTCTCTTCATTTTAAATTACCGATAGGTGCGATTTAATCCCTGGCCTGTTGCTGTTTTCAAACGTGTCCCTCCAGTAGGCTATATAATTGTGTATACCAAAAGAGAAAAAGAAACTCAAACAGAATAGTGACAATGACGAGAGGAGAAATATAGCCAGGCTACTACTTTGACATTGGAAATGATGCAGCGATGGCGGCGCGCGTTGGTGTGCGCGCACAGAGCAGCAAGAGAGCGCAGTTCATCCTTTATTGCTCCTGGAGAGCCATTTCAAAGCTCATTAATCAAAAACTCGTCGCTTTCAGACTCCTCGCTGATCCCTCCTCCTCGTGAACAAAGCATTTGCATTCCAAATCCAAGTAACACGTTTCAAACTGGGCAGGCCCACCTCTAATGAGAAGGGAAAGCCACAAAAAGAAAACGCCTTCTCGGATTCAAGAAAGATGCATTCTTCATTTTAAAAGTACATTGATGATCTGAATGTGTTCTATGGCCACGTAAACCTTTTCTGATCTGTTTAAACTATACAGAAACAATACATCCTCAAATAGCCTACTGTCATTATCATTAATATGCTTAAAGATGCCATTAAACGAGCAAAAAGATACATTTTAAAAAGGAAACATTTAGGCTGTATCACAAAAATACAAAAACAAATAGATTATGAATAATAATATGTAATGGGCGTATTTACTAACCTACATTTAATGAAAAGTCCTGCACAATATGCGACTGACCAGGATGTTTAGAGGCATTTTATTTTTTGTATTTCTTAATTTCGGTAGCCTACTGAAAAGAAAGATGGCACAATAATGAACACCAAACAATGTAAATGCAGGTGTCTGGTTTTGATGTGCTTTTAATGTGTTGACTGATCTGAGCCTGCCCCACAGCCATAAACTGTGTAAAGAAGGTAGAGTGTTTATATATATACAGTTTGTGCCCACATCTTAAAGGCAAGGTCTGAATGCCATGATATAAGGAGCTCCCAAAAACTTGAGGGGGGAAAAAAATATGGGAGATTATAGCAGACTACTTTACAGGTTATAACTTGGTCCAGTTTAACACATGCTCAGTTATCATGTTTTGATGAGCTCAACTTGTTCAAAATAAATAAATAAATACAAATAAAACTACTATGATTTGTGAGGCACTGTGCACAGACTAGATGCATGCTTGGTGTTCTGATTGGTCTGAGACGAAGGAGACCACGCCCACTGGTCACGGCTAATATTTACACATAGGGAAGTAGCTACGAAAGGCTAACTAATAATGAGTAATAACAAGACTGCTAACACTTGTATGGCCCATCTCTTAAAGGATTTTCACACAAGCCGGACATAAAAAGTGAACCTTCTTGGTGCGCCATGTGATAGGGAGGGACGAGTGACCAACGGAGAAGCAGCGGACTGTGGTTTCTTCATAGCGGGTGATGTTCAGGAGGCTATGTCTGATTGTTGACTGTTAATTGGTTATAATAGTTTAGTAAGAAGTCGCCTAAACAGAGCTGAAAGTTGGTGCGTAAAAGTCGCGTACTATTGCGTCCTTTTCCAGGCTGTTATCCCTTTTACGCTCGACAACCCATTTGGCACTAACAAGAGAGAAAACGCCACACGAGAAGACATCACACCCTCAAATCAGAGAAAATATAGCTCGTTTTATTTTGGGCGACAACCTTTGTGAAATAGGCCAGACTGTGCAACCATGTCTTGAGTGTTTTCAGAAGGAAAAACGGCAACATTTCTCCCGAACAGTTTTATATAAAGACAGCACGGGACTGGACTAAAAGCGATTTAATTCTCGAGAGGTGAAGCCCTGGAAACGCTTGAGTGCTGAACCACTCATTTGAGAATAAGACTTCTTCAATAATATTAGAATAAGTATGTTTTTTTTTGTATTGTTCTTTTATTTTCTTTCATTTTAAAGGAGACAGAACATTTTATTTGACAAAGTTGTTTTAAAAAATCACCAGTTTTACTATTTGGTGTACAGTGCTGTTATTTACATTGTGAAATAAATACTACTATACCATTCTATTGTATTGTGTATGTTTTGGCTCTTACTGAACTGTATTTGCATAGAACTACTCTCAAGGTTTTAAAGTTCTTTCCATTAGTATGATCCATTATAACTTTTGAAATGACAGCCCTTCCTTGGCTGGGGAATCTAATACCCATGAGAAACCTGATCTATCTCCAACGGTGGGAGCAGGGCTAACCACTGACAGAGGATGTGAAGGCTGGAGGACATCATTGTCACAAGTCCTTTCTGTTGTCTGCCCTCTGCTGTCATTAGCGATTGGCTCTGTGGACAGAGGTGGGGCATCGCTGCCAACTGCCCTGTCACTCACCAGGGCCTGCACTCATCAACTGCTCAAGGTTAAAGCACACTCACTAACTTTTATTATCATGCATCTGCTGTAGAAACCTGCTCAATGGAGGTGTCAGCTGCAAAAAGAAACAAGCCAAACAAGAGCATTGGCCAATAACCTAAAATGCCCATATAATGAAGTCTGTAAGAATCAGCAAACACACAGTACTGAAACTAGAGGTGCATCAATCCAGTGTTTTCAGTTCAGATACCAATATCCATATTTTGACTTTAATTATCAGCAGATACTCAATATCATCCAATTCCGGGGCAGTGAGAGAAAATTGGCTTTCCATGAAACATAAATATTGTATGAGAAACAGAAATGTGTACGTTTTGGTGCAACTAGTAAATTGGTATAGCACAAACATGATTTCATACGGCATTCAAAATAATCAGAAGTTTCTAAAGGCTTCAAAGAATGATGACAAAATAGTTATTAATTTAAGCACAGAAACAGTTTAGCTTGTGATATCAATTCTCAAATAGAAAAAGACAAAAAGCTTTTGTGTGGTTAGTGCATTTGTAACAGAATAGTTATGTTAGTACTTTATCATTTGCTAAAAAGTCATATTTGAAAAAACAATGGTGACAATTGGTTTGTAATCTTTCAAATAGAAACGTTCAGTGGTCTAAGTCACAGGCTCTTGCCCAAGGATTATGATATTTCAACATGAACCAGGAAGACAGATGAAGTGGGATATTACGTAAGACCAAGTTTCTGTTGTGAGCTGTGCAAAGGGTGCCGATTCATAAAACACTTCAACAGGGCGACCTACAGCCAAACTGCTCTAAATAACTGGTGGCTAAGCGAGCCCTGAACATTGATCATGAGTGTTGTCACAGAGGCTCATGTGCCTGGATTTATCGCAGCTCTTATGTGTTAGTAATATTGATATAATTGTAACTATAATAAATGACTCACTCCTCTGGATATGATTTAGAGGGCTTGGCCACAGGGCTCATCTCGTCCTTCCCACTGTGAAAGATAGCCCATGGATATGAAGTAACTGTGTATTACCCAAGCTTTGACTATAATGCTCTGTTAGTCCTTATCAAAAAGTATTAGTGCCTCTACCTTATTCTGGAGCCCATATGGATTTCTTTCAAGGCACTTTCTATACAAAATTATGAGTGAATAAATTGCATCTTCATTTATCTTCCCAAAACCCTTCTGTGCTGACTGCGATACTCAGCTCTCAGCGCTTTACATAATTATATTAGTCTTCTGCTACACCACGAAATTGATTGCCCAGGAAAATGAACCTGGCTTTCCTATAAATTACACCTATGGATCATAAGAAATGTGTTATTTTGTTTAAAATAGTACCTAATCTAATTAGAGCTCTAATTCATGGAGAGCTACAAGTGTGCCTATTACAGTAACAGGGTTTGGAATTTAATCTGTCTGCAGAATAAAGAATGATTCTGAGCAGTTTCCATTTGTAATCCCAAACACATTATTACAGTAAAATAGTCTGTGACTTCTTGATATGAGAGATGGATTGTTAAGTGATTCAACTGTATTCAGTTTGAATGTTTCAAACTTAAATGTTTAAAGGCAGTTAACAGTTGATTAAAAAAAGTTTCTAACAGTCAAACATTTCAGCACTCACCTCAGTGCATGGGCAACGTGAGCTGGTGCTGCTGGGTTGGTCTGTGGAGAGGCATGAACTCAATGACTCCAGAGAAACATTTCTAGGAAGAAAAACAGAAATATTGTCTGCAAGCTCTGCACGCACGGGAGTCTGATGAAGCACACAAATTAGCAGATTCAAACTATGTGGACATTGTATTTATTTACCGTCAGTAATACCGTACATCCGACTTCAGTTTCACAAGTGACCATGGAGATGTCTCCTCCTGAGGATTAAAAACACACTACATTACTGTAACACATTTACATCAATCACAATTATTTCAGAAATCCAGTTATATCAAACTTGACTCACACAATTCATAAAACTAAACACTGACAAACACATTCATGTTCAGTAATAAACCTTTTTAATGCAGGCTGAAAATAAACTACTGATTAAGGTAGTGGTTCTCAACTTGGGGGTCAGGACCCGCAAGGGGATCATAAAATGATTTCAGGGGTTCCCATGTGATATGGGGAAGTGTTTAATATGTGCACAGTAGTTTTAACCAAGGTTTGAAACTCTTTAAATGAAAAATTCATTTCTACTTTAAAATGCAGTGGTAAATATAGATTCCTATATAGATTTGATGGTCTCCCTGAAAATAAAATCAAAGATGAAACATAAGGC